AAAGATATGATTCTAACCATTTCAGTGCAACTTCTGAGACTCCGAAAGAATTTTCAAGTTTCCATAATAAAATCGCATAATTAACGCAATCAAATGCTGCAATCTCGTCGAGTAGGGCAAGGACAAGAGCTGAGATATTTTGACCATCCATAGTTGCAAACCTCTCTGATGCAACATCAGTCAATGCAGACTCAGTTGAGTGAAGTTCAGAGTTAAAAAAATTGAAATGCCGGTTTTCAATTCCTTTGAGGCAATTGTTCTTAAAATATTCTGCGGTGAAACAAGTATTATTTTATTAAGTATTTTATTAAGTAAATTAAGAAGTGGTGAGTGAAGTGCTTTTGAGAAGTTTTTGTTTTAAAAAGCGCTGTATAAATTTTTGTATAATAATAATAATGCATGCATACAAACATCCGTATTTTGACCCTCTTACTTAGATCTTAGCAGCACGATTTGAATTGAATGAAGAAGGAGATTAATCAATTGATTTGAAACTCCGTAAAAAATGCTGTTGTAGTTAATCTAATTTTGAGAGAATGAATGCGTGAACCAAAATGCATAACATACATACATATGTGCTCACATACGTGCATGCATATATATGTACAATATACAATACTGGAGGCAACGCATTGGTTGTGGGTTGATATGTTTGAGAATTATTTTTAAAATATGTGTATTAATTCATTATAAGTCTTTGAATAATGTTGCACCGCAAAATATAATCGATCGGTTAAAATCAAAGTTGTCAAAGTATGAATTGAGGTCTGTTGATTCCAATTTTTTGTCTGAGCCAGAGACAAACCTCAAGATTGGATCTCGAAGCCTTGCTACCGTTGAACCACGATTGTGGAATAGCCTTCCAAATACTTTGCACAGTGCTGATTTCACTCTAAGTCATTTTAAGAGACAGCTGAGAACCTGTTCTGCTCAGCCCTTAATAGCGTTTAATAACTGAAGCGCCTGGGACGGTTTTTTCAAACGAATACTGTATAAATACAATTAATAATAATAATACATACATACATACACACATACATACACGCACATACATGCATACGCACACACATATACATACACGCACACACACATAAACATACATACATACATATTTATTCATTTATTCATCAAATATATTGTATATATCCCAAATATCCCATACATTCATCAAAAAAATCTCAACCAATCACATCTCGCAGTGCGTTTGCCTGACAGCCTGCGGAAACTTCGGATTGGTCGGTTTCTCTAGTGGGCGGGTCAGCGTGTTTAACATGCAGTCTGGTTTGCATAGAGGTTGCTATGGCGACGAGGGTTCCAAACGTTTAGGTGGGCGGAGCTTGCTTGGAGGGTTGTTGTGGTTGTTGATTTGATGTACCTTTGTATGGTGGTCATCATTCATCTCATCGCCATCGTCTCCATCGCCACCAACAACAACATCACCACCAACCACACCGACAACAGCACACGGAAGCTGCATTACTGGCGTCTTCGTGGACGACCTAAACAGCACGACCATAACAATGGCTAGAGAGGTGGGGGTGAAGTTTTGGACTTTCAAGGGTAAGAAGTTCGTCCAGTCCCTAACTCTCCATGCCACACCGCGCATGGCCATCATGAATAGAAATAAGTTAGTCTTTGTTTGGTTCTTTTTTTTCTAGGGTAAGGGGGGAATCTAGATTTTGGCGATGACGATGAAGATTTTCGTTGTTATGGCTGAAAAGACGATGATTGAGACGACTGGACATGGTAATAAATGACTTCAGAGCTCTGTGGAGAAGTCTCGGACCCTCGTGACGTCACGTCAAATGTACCCCACTTGCAGTGACGAGCGTTTTAGATTAATAATAGGATTTTATTAAATTATTTCATTATTGATATTTGGAGTTAGAAAATAAAAGGATGTTCTCATTATTATTATTTATTATTATTATCATCATCATCATTATTATTATTATTATTAATATTGTTATTATTATTATGTACCCAGACCAATTAATTTTATTTGGTCTGACCCTTTTCATGGAAGTTTAATTAACTCCGTAGTATCGTCGTCTTACCCAATTTACTGCGATAGGAACACGACTTGAACGAAATTTAATGCTGATTCTATTTCTCTTTGTGCCCATTTAAAGTGTACGGCGAGCCTTGTAGGATATCTATACAATTTACATTACAAGTTTTATTATTTTAGATTTTTAATTGCAATGTATGTTTTGGAATAAAAATAAAAGGATGTTTTCATTATTGTTATTATTATTATTATTATTATTATTATTCTTACCTTTGGCAAGGAGCACGGGAGGATCGTGCATAACAATATTAACAATTAACATTTTATTTCATTTTATCTATTTTGATTTGATTTTATGTCTTCTGCGATAATAAAAGAGTTCAAATTATTATTATTATTTATACAGCAACCTATTGGCGATATCGTTGAATGATTTTTCCTTGGTTCTACTCGACGCCGAGAGTAAGAAAGTCGTTAGAAAAATTTCCGGTCATAAGAATGACGTCACTGACATGGTGTGTGGATGTGTGTGTTTGTGGGTGTGTGGGTTTGTGTGTGTGTTTGTTTGTGTTTGTGGGTGTGTGAGTTTGTGTGTGTGTGCTTGTTTGTATGTTTGTCGGTGTGTGTTTGTGTGTGTGTTTGTGGGCGTGTGTCTGTTTGTTTGTGGGTGTGTGTGTTTGTGGGTGTGCGTGTTTGTGGGTGTCTGTTGGTTTATTAGAACGTCAGTTAATTGATCAGTTAATAAGTTAATTGATTAATTAATTAATTACGCAGACGTTTGCGCGGGGCGGTAGGTGGCTGGTGACGGCGTGTATGGATTCTTGCATCAGGGTCTTTGACCTCTATTCATCTGTGTTAGTTCGTTCGTCGCCTTTCTTTTGCCACTTTTCCTCCATTCAATTATCCATCATCATCATCATCATTATTATTATAATCAGCACTATCATCGTCACCATCATTATCATCACTATCATCGTCATCTTTTCTATCATCGTCATCCTTTTTATTATCATCATCATCATCATCATCATTACCACCACCACCATCATCATCACCATCATCATTATTATAATAAGCACTATTATCATCATCATCATTACCACCACCACCACCATCATCACTATCATCGTCACCACTATCGTCATCTTCTCTACCCCCATCATCATCAATATCACCATCACGTGACCACCAGGTTATTGGACATCTTCCAGCTACACACGCCGGCCACCAGCATCACCATGTCGCCAACAGACGAGCTGTTGGCCACAACTCACGTCGACGATTTAGGTTCACTTTTAGACACTTTTTTAACCCCACTTTTGTTAATTAGCTAGCTAATTGAGTTAATTTTAGTTAATCAAATTTAACTGGGTAAGTTTGTTTCATTGTAATTTTATTCCACTTTTAAATATTATTAACTTTCAATTGCTAAACACTTTTGGCCACATTGCACGTTGTTCGAGTGCTATTTCAAGGACTAATTACTGTTGTATTCCGTGGTTAATTATATTCCACTTTTATACTTTAATTCCAACTGGATTTAAATTTTTTTATTGCCTAATTTTATTTTTAATTAATTCATTCGTTCAATTCCAGACAAACTTAACGCAACTCTAGATCGTTCGTTTCCAATTTAATTCCATTTTTAATCATCCTACTTGCACTCAACTCCACTTTAAATTGATAAAATTTCAATCTTTACTTAATTGCACTTTTCGTCTATGAGATTTTTTTTTTCTCCCAGGCATATATCTATGGTACAACAAAAGCCTTTACGCTCCAGCATCTTTAACAGCGACCAACTCTCTAGACGTTAGCGAGGGTAAAGTTGGTGATGTAGTCGAACTTCTCGAACTCCCAAGAACAAAATGTGATGATGATGATTACGATGATGGTGATGATAATGACGTTGGTGGTGGTGGTGCCAATCTCGGAGGTGAGATGATGATGGTGATGAAGATGATGGTGATGATGTTATGATGACTGTAGTGCGGTTGACTATCATGGTGGCTGGGAAGATGATTCTCTGATGAACAACAACTCTGATGATAATGATGCACACACACACACTCACACACACACACACACTCACACATATACACGTACACACACTCACATAACATACACATGCACACGCGCACAATGCTATTACCTTATAAAGTTACCTATGGAATAAAATGCTTCTTTTTCATTATTAATACTCTCTCTCTAAAAAAATGTTATTATTTTTATTAATTAAAAAATTGAACATTGATAAATAAAAAAATAATACTGTATACCAAAATAAAATTAATTTCTACGTATCATAAAGATAAAACCGTTTATCTTTCTTTGTCTTTTTTCTCCAGAGAAACAAAGAACTGAAAGTAGTACGACAACGAAGTTAGGACAGTTAGGGAAAATGGTGACACTGAGTAACTTGTCGGAATTAAGATGGCTGTCTCTTTCGAGATACGATCTTATAAAGGTGGGTGGTGCTGTCATTCTAGATTTCCTGATATTGTCTTTTTTTGTTTTGTTTTGTTATGATATGAAACTCAATGCATAGATGTGAAGAAAAAATGGTTGTAAAGAAAAATGAAAGCGAAAAAAAAATGAATGTAGAGAGCTGACCAACGGTGAATTGTTTCTTTTTGTTGGCTCTTGGGAGGTATTTAGGATTGGTCTATGATATGGATTCTCGTTCATCATCTTCTTGTTTCTTTATTTTCGGTTTGTCATTGTTCTCGGTTTCAATTAGAAAAGTATCAATGTTCTGTAGTAGGCTAGTTCTTATATCTTCTCTTCCTTTATTTTCGATTTTTAGTAGTTTCTGTTTCTTCTAGAATCGTATCAATGTTCTGTGGTTCGCTAGTTCCCACGTCCTCTTCACGTTTCTTTTTTTTTGTTTTTTTAGGTGAGCCTGTTTGAGAATCAGCCGTTTCAATAGATAAATTTTCTAATGGCTTTTCACTGTCTGTGTTCTTTAATTTTTTCGATTTTTTTGGCACCCCAGTTTCATCTGGAATCGTATCAATGTTCTGTGGTACGCTAGTTCCTACATTCTCTTCTTGTTTCTTTTTTTTCGACTTTTTAAGGGAACCTGTTTGAGATACAGCCGTTTCTACTGGCAAATCTTCTAATGGCTTCTCGCTATCTACGTTTTCCAACATTTTCGGTTTTTTGGTAGTTTCGGTTTCTTCTGGAATCGTATCAATGTTCTGTGGTTCGCTAGTTCCCACGTCCTCTTCACGTTTCTTTTTTTTGATTTTTTCGCTGGTTCCCACGTCTTCTTCACGTTTCTTTCTTTTTGTGTTTTTAGGTGAGCCTGTTTGAGTATCAGCCGTTTCAATAGATAAATTTTCTAATGGTTTTTCAATGTCTGTGTTCTTTAATTTTTTCGATTTTTTTGTCGCCCCAGTTTCATCTGGAATCGAATCAATGTTCTGTGGTTCGCTAGTTTCTACATTCTCTTCTTGTTTCTTTTTTTTCGAATTTTTAGGGGGATCTGTTTGAGATACAGCCGTTTCTACTGGCAAATCTTTTAAAGGATTCTCGCTATTTACGTTTTTCAACATTTTCGGTTTTTTGATAGTTTCGGTTTCTTCTGGAATGTTATTTGGTTCGCTGCTTCCCACGTCCTCTTCACGTTTCTTTCTTTTTGTTTTTTTAGGTGAGCCTGTTTGAGAATCAGCCGTTTCAATAGATAAATTTTCTAATGGCTTTTCACTGTCTGTGTTCTTTAATTTTTTCGATTTTTTTGGCACCCCAGTTTCATCTGGAATCGTATCAATGTTCTGTGGTACGCTAGTTTCTACATTCTCTTCTTGTTTCTTTTTTTTCGACTTTTTAAGGGGACCTGTTTGAGATACAGCCGTTTCTACTGGCAAATCTTCTAATGGCTTCTCGCTATCTACGTTTTCCAACATTTTCGGTTTTTTGGTAGTTTCGGTTTCTTCTAGAATCGTATCAATGTTCTGTGGTTCGCTAGTTCCCACGTCCTCTTCACGTTTCTTTTTTTTTGTTTTTTTAGGTGAGCCTGTTTGAGAATCAGCCGTTTCAATAGATAAATTTTCTAATGGCTTTTCACTGTCTGTGTTCTTTAATTTTTTCGATTTTTTTGTCACCCCAGTTTCATCTGGAATCGTATCAATGTTCTGTGGTACGCTAGTTCCTACATTATCTCCTTGTTTCTTTTTTTTCGACTTTTTAAGGGGACCTGTTTGAGATACAGCCGTTTCTACTGGCAAATCTTCTAAAGGCTTTTCGCTATCTACGTTTTTTAACATTTTCAGTTGTTTGGTAGTTTCTGTTTCTTCTGGAATGTTCTGTGGTTCGCTAGTTCCCACGTCCTCTTCACGTTTCTTTTTTTTTGTTTTTTTAGGTGAGCCTGTTTGAGAATCAGCCGTTTCAATAAATAAATTTTCTAATGGCTTTTCACTGTCTGTGTTCTTTAATTTTTTCGATTTTTTTGTCACCCCAGTTTCATCTGGAATCGTATCAATGTTCTGTGGTACGCTAGTTCCTACATTATCTCCTTGTTTCTTTTTTTTCGACTTTTTAAGGGGACCTGTTTGAGATACAGCCGTTTCTACTGGCAAATCTTCTAAAGGCTTTTCGCTATCTACGTTTTTTAACATTTTCAGTTGTTTGGTAGTTTCTGTTTCTCCTGGAATGTTCTGTGGTTCGCTAGTTCCCACGTCCTCTTCACGTTTCTTTTTTTTTGTTTTTTTAGGTGAGCCTGGTTGAGAATCAGCCGTGTCAATAGATAAATTTTCAAATGGCTTTTCACGGTCTGTGTCCTTTAATTTTTTCGATTTTTTTGTCACCCCAGTTTCATCTGGAATCGTATCAATGTTCTGTGGTACGCTAGTTCCTACATTATCTCCTTGTTTCTTTTTTTTCGACTTTTTAAGGGGACCTGTTTGAGATACAGCCGTTTCTACTGGCAAATCTTCTAAAGGCTTTTCGCTATCTACGTTTTTTAACATTTTCAGTTGTTTGGTAGTTTCTGTTTCTTCTGGAATGTTCTGTGGTTCGCTAGTTCCCACGTCCTCTTCACGTTTCTTTTTTTTTGTTTTTTTAGGTGAGCCTGGTTGAGAATCAGCCGTGTCAATAGATAAATTTTCAAATGGCTTTTCACGGTCTGTGTCCTTTAATTTTTTCGATTTTGTTATCACCCCAGTTTCATCTGAAATCGTATCAATGTTTTGTGGTTCACTAATTCTTACATTCTCTTTTTGTTTCTTTTTTTTCGACTTTTTAGGTGAACCTGTTTGAGATACAGCCGTTTCTACTGGCAAATCTTCTAATGGCTTTTCGCTATCTACGTCTTTCAACTTTTTTTTCGGTTTTTTGGTAGTTTCGGTTTCTTCTGGAATCGTATCAATGTTCTGTGGTTCGCTAGTTCCCACGTCCTCTTCACGTTTCTTTTTTTTTGTTTTTTTAGGTGAGCCTGGTTGAGAATCAGCCGTGTCAATAGATAAATTTTCAAATGGCTTTTCACTCTCTCTGTCCTTTAATTTTTTCGATTTTTTTATCACATCAGTTTCATCTGAAATCGTATCAATGTTCTGTGGTTCACTAATTCCTACATTCTCTTCTTGTTTCTTTTTTTTCGACTTCTTAAGGAGACCTATTTGAGATACAGCCGTTTCTACTGGCAAATCTTCTAAAGGCTTCTCGCTATCTACGTCTTTCAACTTTTTCGGTTTTTTGGTAGTTTCTGTTTCACCAAGAAATGTGTCAATGCTCAATTGTTCGTTGGCATTCAATTCAATCTCTTCACGTTTTTTCTTTTTTGGTTTTTTCACTTGCTTTGAACCTTCTGCTTCATCAGGTGCCGAATCAATTATCATTGGTTCAATAACTTTTGCATCTTCCTCTGATTTTTGTTTTTTAGATTTTACACTGAAACCTGGCTCAGCATCGTCAACAACGTCTAGTGGCATTTTTTTAAATGGTTTTTTTTCACTTTCCGTTTTTTTCGATTTTTTTGATTTCTTCATGGCTTCCGATTCGTCCGTTATCATATTTAATGTCTCAGTGTTTTTTACATCTTCATCCAGTTTCGGTTTTTCGGGTGGTGGTGGAACATCAACAATTTCTACCACTACGCTGATATTACCTTGGTTTACTCTTTTCATTTCGAAATCTTCAGACTTTGAATCTGTGGTTGATGATCTGATAGTTATCAAGTCATCATCTTTTTTTTTCCTATATTTTACCGCAGGTAGTTTTTTCACTTCAACATCTTCCTTTGGCGACGTATCTGCTAGTTTCGAGGCTGTCGATGCTTCAATCTCAACTTTTTTAGATTTTTTCTCCTTTTTGGGAATCGCTAGTTCATCCACTTTCATATCGTTCGATTTTTCATAAGTTATATTTTCTTCTTCGCCTATTTCTATTTTCGATTTTTTTACAACCCCTTCTTGCCCTTCAACAGTTTCTGTTGCCAATTCGTTCGCCAACTTTAGTAGGTTTTTAGTTTCAGGTCGATCACTTTCAGTTTTTTTTAACTTTTTCGTTTTCTTAGTAATCTCTGATTCATTTAATTTCATTTCAATGGTGGACGATTCAACAGCTTTTATGTCCTCTTCTTCCTCGAGTTTTTTCTTCTTAGGTTTTTTTGTGGAGCTCTGTTTATCTCCAACAATTTCTGCTGTTAATTCATCTGCTAATTTCTCAGTTTCAAAAATTTCTGATTCATTTTTATTTGACTTTTTTGCTTTTTCCGCTGTTTCTTGTTCATCGAATTTCATCCAAACGTTTGAGGATTCAATACTTTTCATGGCATCTACCTCTTGTCTTTGTTTTTTAGATTTTTTTGGTTTTACTTCTATATCATGCTCTGACGAATTTTCTGTTTGTTCGTCACTGTCCTTTCTTTTCGTTTTTTTTCTTTTTCTAGTAATTTCAAACGTTTCTAGTAGCATATCTAAATTTTTGGTTTCATCTATTTGTTTGTCAGGTTTTTTCATGGACATTTCCCGTTGAATATCTGCTTTTATTTCAATAGGGATGTCTTCTGTTGCTCTTTCACTTTCGTTTTTCTTCAGCTTGTTTGGCTTTTTAGAAAGGTCAGTTTCATCTAGTTTTTGTGTCTACTTTGATTAGTTCAGCGGTTTTCTTTTCTCAATTTTCACCGGTCTGTTTATAAGATTCTTTCACTGGATTGGACGGACTTTTGATAATTTTATTCTGCAATTCTTTTGCTTGTTTTTCTGGTTCGTCGATGGTGGATTTTAGTTTTTTCTGTTGTTTTTTGGAATGGAATGGAAATTCTTCATTTTCACTTTTCCTTTTATCTTCTATTGATCTTTTTTTGTTACTGTCTAATTTAATTTCATGATCTTTTAATGAAGGTTTTTTCACTGCTGTTGTTCCACCTGTGTCATTGTCATTTTCTGCTTTCCTTCTTTCTTTTTTAGGTATTTCAGCCTTTTTTTCAATCTCCGTCATTTCCATTGCTGGTTGTGTTTCCTCTTCAAAGAGTTTTGCTTTTACTTTCTTTTTCGTTACTTCAGCTAATGTTTTATCGTCCGGTGCTATAGTTCTTTCACCTGTTCGCGATTTTACAGGCGCTTCCTCCTTTCGTGTTGTTGCTATTTTTTTGTTTGCCTCTTTCATTTGTTCGTTCTGACCAATAACATTTTTTTCTTCGATTTCAAACTTTAAAACTATCTTGTCATTTTTCTCTGATTTAATTTCTTTTACTTGGGCATCGATCTTAAAATTTTCCTGGTTGTTGATTTCTATCTCAATCTCAGCACATTTCAATTGCTTGCTGCTCAATCTCGTTGCCATGTCCTCGTTCGAATCTATGGGAGCCGGAGGTATATCCTTTTCGCCGTAAGTCGATCGACGAGAAACTGATCTTGTTTTTTCTGTGTCCATACTCGAATTATTTTTGCGGGGAAACTCAACATTTTCTTCTGCAGAAAATATTTTAAGGCTGGTTGGGTCCGATGCATCAGTCACGCTGCTGGCAACTTGTTCATTAGGAATATTTTTTGGCGTTATCTTTGTATCATCTTCAGGAATTGATTTTTCTGCTGGTGTTTTACTTGACGATTTTTGGATTTTTTTTGAAGTCTTTGTGCCTTTTTTGTCTGGTTTGTCAGATGATGATTTTTCATTAGTTGCAGATGTGTTGGTTGTGTCGTCGTTGGTCGTCGCTCTGAATGATAACAGCTGGTCTTGGACCATCGGCAATTTCAAATTTAGGATTTTTATTTTTTTTATTTCTTCTGCCACGGAGGTTATTACATCCTTAACTTCATCTGACTGCGTATCTGACGTATCCAGCTCTCCCATGCCTTGTTTTTCAATATCAGCCATAATTTCTCTGGCCATCATTTCTCTGTCTTTATTTGATGTATCTCGAATACCTGATGCCATCACTGTTTTTTGATCTTTTTTACTTTTTTCTGTCTCCGTAGATTTTTTCCTTACCCTTTTCGGCGTGAGCATATCTTTTGTTTCAACCAGCTCCTCACTTGTTGATTCATATCTTGGTTTTTGTTCTAAAGCAATTTCTTCATTTTTAATATTTTTTTCTGGAGTTTTTTGTTTGCTAGTACTTTTTTTAGTCTCTCCTAACAACTGACTAACAGCTTCTTTATCTATAGTTATTTGAAATTTTATTTTACCACTAGGTACTTCAGATAATTTTTTTTCAAATGCCCCCTCCGGATCATTTTCTTTGCCGGTGTCAACATCTGCAAGTTGCTCCTCTAAGTCTTCATTTTTTGGTAGTTTCGATAAATTTCTCAAATGCCTTTCTTCTAATATTTTTATAACGCCACTTTCGCTTGCTGCCAGAATTGTGGATGATTTTTTGGGTTTTCTTCTCTCTTGAGATTTTTGTTTGTATCCACCGCCAGCATTATACAAAGCTACAGTTTCTTTGTCCGAAAGTTCATCCTCCATTTTATTTTTATATCCTTTCGGGAATATTCTTTCGGGTTTCTCATCCTTTATTGTTACGATTTTACTATCGTTCCCAGGTAATTTTCTTTTTTCATTCGAAATTCTCCCACTTTTATATATTGAAGATGGTGTACTTTTAGTTTCTATACTTGGAATTGGTTTGTCCATGGTTTCGCTGTAAGCTTCCTTCTCTAATTTTCTTTCCAACTCATCTTCTTTCATTTTATTTTTTTTCATATCGCCTTTATGGTCAATGGGCTTTTCTTTCACAATTTCTAACTCGGGGATTTTTTTTTCTTTAGTTTCATGATGTGGTTCAGGGGAGAATTTTTCTTTAACTTCAACATCCGGTACTGTTTTATTTTTGTCCACCTCTTTAGCTTTTGAATTTTTTTTTTCGGTTACACTCGCCGAAATGTCAGACTTTTTGGCTACTCCATTCAATTTTCTTTCATTATCGTTTTGAAATTTTATCGGCGTTTTTTTTTCTTCAACGACAGTGACTTTGATAATGGATTTGATTTCGTCAGGTTTATTGATGTTTTTTGAGACCTGGTCGTAAAAATTTGTCGCCTCCTTTTTAACATAGATCGGTTTGGCACAATCGGTAGGTAGTTTTTGTGGTTCTTCCAAGTTTTTCGACACAATCGTGACTGCTCCTCTTTTCCCTCCGTGTTGTTCTTTACTCTCTGTGGCTGGAGCGGGAGTTGGAGGTTTCGCTTGAGTTTTTAACGCTGCCCCATTTTGTGCTTTTTCACTTTCAACCTCGAAATTTTTGGTTACCTTACTCGGAGTAACTTTTTCTGTAGGACCTCGTGGTTTTTCAGATTTTGATCGTTCTTTGGCGCTTGGGAAAACTTTGTAAGGATCGTCTCGTGGAGGTGTTGGTGTTAAGGACTGCTTGTACTGCTTGTACTGACACAGGGTTCCTCCTTTGAATGGTGGGATAACTCTATCAGGTCCGCAAGTTCTTTGCTGGCACGTTGGGGTTTGTATTATTTTAGGTTCATATTTCATTTCCCTTTCAATTGTTGGTTCTTTGGCATTTTTTATTTCTTTTACGCCGGTCGTTTTTTGCTGACTTGGTTCCAGTTTAAATTTTTTGTCTTTGAATTTGTCATCGGCCATTTTGACTGCATAAACTTTTGGCGGGGAAACTTTCCTGTCGACAACACTGGTGGTACCCTTAACAGGAAAGTATGTGGATTTTGGAATAAGTGGGGCTCTGGTTACTGAAAGTTTCCTAACAGCTACACTCTTCGATGGCTTGATTGGATAGTGGGTAGCAACACTTGGCAGGTCCACGTATGATTGTACTTTGTAATCTTTAAAGTTAGTTCTCTTTTGCTCCTGAACCTCCGCTTTCACCGCTTGCTCGGCAGATGATTCAGCGCGTGCTTTCTCCCCTCTTAATTCGATAATTTTGTTGTATGTATAGGAAGGGAAGCAGAAGAGGTTGGACCAAAGACCTTCATAATTGCAGTATTTGTATACCTTTAGTAAGTCGCACACTTGCATTTGCTCCTCTCTCTTTAGGTTAACGTTCGTACTGTAGAGGTTGATGTAATGCGGGCAGCAGTTGAGACATGTGTAGCAGGGTATGTAGTATTTTATTTGTGGCCACTCTGCGTGCGGAGATAATTCTTGCCGATTCTCATCTTGGGGATGGTTCGTGTGGTTTTGCTGGTACGTTCGCTGTTGTAAGGCTCTCGGTGGCCTCCTTTTTAATTTTGCTCGTTGCTGTTTCAGTTCAATTTCATTCAACCGTTCATTCTTTTTGTAATGCTTGCCTACGTCAATTTTCTGAGCTGCGGCGCTGTTGTTCAAACATTCGAGACACGAGAGGGTGCTCTCTTCGTCATCGAGTTGGTCCTCTAAATTTTGTACCTCTGATTGCTGTTTTCGTTCATTTAACTGCCGATCTTGTGACTGCTGTTGCTGGCACTGTGGCTCTTGTGGCTGGTCTGGTAACTGCTGTCGCTGGTCTGGTAACTGCTGCTTTTCTAATTGCTGATGCTGCTGGTCGGTTAGTTGTGGTTCATGTAGCCACTGCTCTGGCAACTGTTCCTCTGGCAGCTTCAGTTCTAATAACTGCTTCTTCGATGACTGCCGTTCTGATAACTGCTGGTCAGGCAGCTTTTGATCCTGCAGTTGCTGGCCTCGCTGCTGATCTGATTGCTGCTGCTGCTTATTTTTGTTATGATGGCGGTGGTATCTGTGGTTGTGGTGGTGATGGTGGTGGCTGTGGTGGCGCTTTGAGGACTTGCTACTATCTTCCATTTAACGCTTGCTTTTTTTGATCTCACTGCTTCCTATCACACTTTGTCGTCCTTCTTTTTACGCTGACTGCTTTTTTTCTGTTGATGATTTTCATGAGAATGTCAGCAAAAAAATGTCTGATCATCCAATAAATACGAAGCCATTTTAATTTTATCAAATTTTTTAAATTTTTTAGGAGAAAAACGCACCCAGAGAGGCTCTGAAGGTGCCAAAACAGGCTCCTTTTTTCCTGCCCACCAAGCAGGGTTTGGAGTTTGAGTTTGAGAAACCCGAGGAACTAAAGGATGAATCTAAAATAAAAAATAAAAAAGTATATTTTTTGCGTCCATTCCTTTGCTTATTTATATGTTTATTCCTTAACTAATTCGTTCGCTCATTCATTCATTCATTCATTCATTTACTCAATCATTCGTTTATTCCAATATTCGTTCACTATTTCATTAGTTATCATTCACTCATTAATTCTTTTTTTTTGTTTTTCATTCATTCACCGAATTTTTTTTATCATAATAATAATAATCGTTGTAATAATAATAATAAAAATAATAATAATAAATGTTTAAAAGTTAATCAGCACTTCCATGAAATCAACACTGCTGGACAAGATGAACGAGTGTTTAAACGCCATGCAAGAAGGCCCAAGTGACAACAACAACGATACATTGTTGAAGATTTGTGAGTTTTTTCCCACATATTTTATTACGCGCTATAAAAATGATGTTTGTTATAATCTCATTCGCTGGTGAGTTTATTGTGGTTTATTGCGCGGTTTATTAAATCAAATTAAGATATTTTAAATGGTATATTTTTTCAAGTAATTTCATAGAATTAATGGGTTAATTTAAATTATTCACATGTTGCAATATACATGTCTACGTATCATAAATTAAACAATACAAAGAGACCCACACACATACACACACCCACTTCATAGATACACTATACAAAAGAACCACAATACTCGTTACCGTTTAAACAATATTACAAGCTGACGCATTACAAATTTGCACACAAGTTTACACGTTACATTACAATTTTGAGGGAAACTTACAAAAATTTTCTTGCACAGATGACGATGTGAGAGACTACTTCTTAACTCTATATCCCTCTTCTATTGACGCCGAACTACGCTGTATGAGTTTAGATTTTGGGGGTAGAGCTGAGATTCTAGTTTGTTTTCTGCTGTTTTTGAGGTCCTGGCTCTCTTCTAACAACCAATTTGAAATCTGCAATGCGATTTTCGATAGATTCGTTGAGGTGAGTCGTTCCGAATGTTTTAATTTACATTTGTAATTTTTTTAATTTACATTTTTAATTTTTTTTTTTTTTTTTTTTTGTTACGATTCTCTGTTTAGTCTTTCCCAGAGGCAGCGACAACAACACGCACATGAATGAACGCATCACACACACACACACACACACACACACACACACACACACACGGTGTACGTGACACAGGCTGCTGGGATCTCCTTGCATTTTTTTTTTTTATTCTTTTAAAAAATACACTTACTTCAATAGCAGTTTAATGATAATGGGATGATAATTTAACGATATGATTCATAATTATTTAATATGATGTTCTTTTTTTTATTCTAAATTTTGGTTAATCGATATGCAATACAATACATTTATCTATTTACTTATCTATCTATCAATGAATTAATTAAATAAATAAATAATTAATTTACTTACTTATTTAATTAATTTAAAATTTGTTAGCTTCACGGCGAAAGTATAGTGACGATGGCGGAAGAAAATGGCACCTCGAGGGCAGACGAAATCGTAGAGTTACTGAATAAAATTTTCACGGATCTAGATGTTAAGGTCGACAACCTGCGGCAAAAGATGGATATCGTCGACTGCCTAATCACCTATAACAGGGGGGCAGCTCTTTAATTTTTGTTTTTTTTCACTTTTAATTTTCTGATTGTGAGAAAGTTTGTTTTTTTTATATAAATGTAAATAAATGTTTATATTTTAATTAAATAAAAATCGAAGAGAGAAAGAAGAGATGTTTGCTGTTGTAAATAGTTTTTTTTTAACATAAAATCTGATGAAATTTTCAGAGTTGTTTTTTTTAAAGCTTGTGAATCGTTGTTTATATGTTTGTTTCGATTTGTAAATTACGTACGTATGCAAAACCAACGATCTCAGAATTTATCTAGTCAGGAAAAGTTTGTGGCTGAGAGCGTTTTTTATCGGTGGCCGTTGTCGTCTCTTCATTTACTACTATCGGATCGGCTTGATTCTCTCGTTAAAATCATCTTGGACGTTTGTCGCTATCAACTTAACACATCTGCCGTTATCGGCTGAGTTTTCAAGTTTAAAACATTTTTCTTTTTTAATTTCCATTTAGGGGTTCGTTTAATTTAAATTTCTCATTCGGAAGTTTATGGAGCAAAGAAGCGAATCAAGATTTTGAACTTATTTAGCAGTTCCTCGTATTACCATCGGAATGGTTGCTCGCCTAGGTACCTGCTTTTATTCGTTACTATTTATTCTTTCTTTCATTCAACAATGAAAGCGTATGAGCGCAATAACAAGTTGGCTAAAAATGTGAGTCGCTTTATTCCCATTATCATATTGAAATGTTTCCACAACGGTCTCTCAATGTCTCAATGTTCTAATATTCAAAATTACAGTTCAATTAATATTACAATTGATATAAATTAAGTTATTGTTCAAACTATTCAAGTTGAGAACACTTAATTAATATTCAAATCAGGAGACGATGGCTTCTGCGGAGGCCAGTCCAGCCTTTTTGGACTTTCCGGGCTTTGCAGATTTGTCTTCGTCCTCTTTTTTAGGAGGTGGAATGCTGGGATCGTCGCCATCAAAATCGATCACTTTTTTCTTCTCGGTCTTGATTTCCTTCCAGTGTGTCTTCTTGATAGCGTGTGGATCGTCGGGATCATCTACCTTCTCTGCCGTAGGCTCCGGCGGTTTCTCTTCACCTTTCGATTTCTCCTTCTTTTCCTCTTCTTCCTTCTTTTTCTTCGCAACTTCGTCGACAGTTTGAATTCTTTCAACGTTCGGAGGAGCGATGTATTTGTTCTGTTTCCTGCAATCCTCACGAATCATCTGCTTCCTCAGATCTTCGGTTCTCTTGAATTCGATGTCCATATTAGCGATGAACTTTGATTCTTTTTTCGGCTTGTAGAAGTACATGCTCTCAGGCCTGGGCTTGTTCTTGTAGACATCTTGAGGATAGCAGTTCGGACCAGTGTACCTCGCGTTTTTATCCATGTAAGTCATTCGTTTCTGAGCCGATTGCAGCTGCAGTACCTGAGCTTTTTTCTTTGCTTGATCATTTCGAAACTTTTCTTTCAGCGCTTTCTCCTTCTTTTCTTCGGCTTCAATCAGACGATTGAAGTACTGCTTTTCTTTTTCAGCTGGCGATATTTTTGAGAGTTCAATCACTTTCATGAAGAAATCAGGCAGCTTGGGCTTCTCCTTCAGAGGCATGATTTGAATGTTTGAAGGTTTTTGGGGCATGTCGGGGAACTTATCAGTTACTGTTCTCGTAACCATGGCATAGTAAGGAATGCTGTAGTAGCAGCAGCACGGGTAACAAGTTTTCTTTTTCTCCTTGTAACCATCATCTTCAAGAATTTCTGATTTAACATCAACCGATTGCTTGCGCGCCATTTGCGACATCATTTTCGAGACGACTTGCGACTGCATCTAGCCCAACGTATGACTCGGTCAGTAATCACACGATTGATTCAGTTTCTTATCTTTATTTTTTGTATCAGGTGTGAAAAATTCACGTTACAACTTTCGACACAATCACGCTCCTAGACTTCACATTATGTCGGTCTTTTTTTTCGAGTCTTTCAATTTTTTTTCGAATTTTTAAATTTTTTCGTCAGGAAATCGAATTCATATTAGGAAAAATCATGGTTTTGTCTTTAAACAATATTATGACGTGGATGATGAGCGAGAAAACAAAAAACGTATTTAGCTGTAAGAGTTTTTTTGTTCCTACACAAATAAACACGAGGTTCAAATTCCAAATTAAATTACTTCTACAGCCTAATTACCTTCTGCTGTTTATAGTAGCCGCCTACTTCTAAAAATAATAATTTCATACACAATTATCATTCTCAATAAATAAATAATCTGAGATGTGCGACTGGGGGAGTTACACACATCCCCGCTTTATGACGAAATAACGCCGGCAACTTTCAGCATATTCATTGTTCATTTTTCTCACTGTGTGTGCTATAGTATATATGTTACATACATATAATCTTCATCAAACACATAGGTATTTGAATATATATATATAGAAAAATATATTATATACAGGACATATGTTTAACGGGCGTTAACTTATCATGTATGTATTGTTTGTATATCATCAAAGAAGCACATACAATACACACATGAACATGTATACAGTACTGCGGTATCTGTAATATTTACACAGTACTGATATTTGATAAATAGACACACACACACATATACAGAGAGTGAAAGAGGAGAGAGAGAGAAGGAAGAGAGAGAAAGAGAGAGAGAGAGAGAGACACACACACACAGACAAACATACAAAAAGACACACACACACCAACACAAACATACTCAAAGACACACAAAGATACACACACACAGACACAAAGATACACAAAGATACACACCAACACAAACATACGCAAAGACACACACACAGACACAAAGATACACAAAGACACACAAACATACACACAGACACACACACAAACATACACAAATATACATATATATATGAATATATATATATGTATGTATGTATACTTTTAGGTAGAACGTTTAAAAATAGACTTCCATCACAGCGTTTCATCATCGTAGCCACGTTGTTGGAGTGCTTTTCACGTCTTTCTTGATTAAAAGTCACGCTTTTTATTAATAAAATAATTATTTTATCCCCGCGCCGTGTATAAAATAAAATATCATCGTCTGCTTTCTTATTTTAGCCATTTTAGAACAAAAAAACATGAGTAAGTTGAAGTCAGGTACGAGTTTTAACGTTAGCAACAAAAACGGTGGTGGTAATAATAATAATTATAATAATTCCTCGGCGGCCAGCAGCTCTCCTCCTAATTACTCACCCACGAATACGGAAGAAGATTCACAATTAGAAATGGCCCCCCAAATCGAGGGACCTATCGCGTTGAAACAAACTCTAGGGCTGCACCATGGTGTCGCCATGATAATTGGGGGTATAATAGGGAGCGGTATTTTTGTATCTCCAAAGGGGGTCCTTCAGGAGGTGGGGTCCGTTGGAGGCTCCCTGATTGTTTGGGTGGTCTGCGGGATTTTTTCATTTTTTGGGGCCATTTGTTATGCCGAACTGGGGACTTCCGTGTTGAAATCCGGCGCAGATTATGCCTACATTAGGGAGGCCTATGGGAAGCTGCCAGGATTTTTGTATCTTTGGATGGCTCTCGTCATCATTAACCCAACTGGAAACGCGATAACTTCACTTACGTTTTCCTACTACATTCTTCAGCCCATCTTTCCTAACTGTGAGCCGCCAGATGCGGCTGTTAGGCTGATTGCTGCCATTGCTATTAGTTAGCTGGGCTCTTTTTTTTTATTTAATAATTTTTATATTTATTATAGAATTATTAATAATTTTGCTATATTTATAAATTAATTAAGATGGTAAATCATTTTATTATGTTGTCATATTTAGTTGATATTATAATATTATATTTATAATTATTGATATAAATAATTAATGATTAATTTTTTTTGTCTTCGATCTAGTGTTTTTGACATTTATAAATTGTATAAATGTGAACTGGGTGGCAAAACTTCAAAATGTCTTCACCGTTACAAAATTGCTGGCCTTGGTCACCATCATCATCATCGGCATCATCAGGATATGCCAGAGTATGTAAGACTTATTGGCTGGCTGGTTGGTTGGTTAGTTAGTTGGTTGGCTAGCTAGTTGATTGGTTGGTTGGTTGATTGTGATTGGTCAGTTGATTTTGTGGTTGGTTGGTCGGTTGATTTTGTGGTTGGTTGGTTGGTGGTTGGTTGGTTCTGAAGTTGATGACGATAATAATGATGATAACAGTGATTGAAATAATATAATTGCTTTGCTAATGATGACGACGATGATGACGTTACAACACACACGCACGCACACGCACACAGGCCACACAGATTATTTAGTGGATGCATTCTCAGACACGAAAACAAATCCAGGAGCCATTGCTTTGGCTGTATATTCTGGATTGTTCAGCTATTCTGGATGGTTGGTTGTGATGATGATGGTGATGATGGTGGGATGATGATGATAATGGTGATGGTGATGATGATAGTGATGAATGATGATGATGGTGGTGATGATGATGATAATGGTGTGATGATGATAGTGATGAATGATGATGATCATGATTGTGATGATGATGTATGATGATGATAGTAATAAAATAATTTATCAGGAACTATTTGAATTTTGTGACAGAGGAGATTAAGAATCCATACAAGTAAAAATTCATTTTTGTGAATGAATGAACGAATGAATGAATTAGTGAATGAACGAATGAATGCGTGAATGAATGAATGAGTGCATAAATAGATGGAAGATTGAAATGGATGAGTGATATTGATTTAATAAATTGATGAAAAATTGACTAAATAAATAATTCGGTGAATGACTAAATGAACGAACAAAATGAATGAACGAATGCATGAATGAATGATTGACTGAATGAATGAATGATTGACTGAATAAGTGTTTGTGAGTGAATGAATGAATAAACAGGTGAATGAATTAATGAATAATTTCTTTACATATTTAAGATGTTCTATATGCAAAACAGACCATGCCTATGCAATTTATTATTATTATTATTATTATTATTATTATTATTATGTTATTATATTATTATCATCATCATCATCTTATAATAATAATAATAATAAAAACAATAATAATTCTGTGACCATGTAAGATTAATAGTGTAATAATTAATTTAAATTGAAAAAATAGTCATTTATTGCTAGGCTGACACTTTCGCTTTTGTGTGAATAAAATGGATTAAAAAAAATGATTAAATTTAAATTCCTAACACCTCGCACATCCCTAGAAATCTTCCGAGGGCGATATGGCTGTCGATGCCGATTGTGACGATCGTCTACACGTTCACTAACGTTGCCTATTTCACCGTACTCAGTCCCCAGCAGCTCTTAGATTCCAATGCTGTTGCTGTTGTTAGTGTTGTTGTTGTTGTTGATATTGTTGGTGTTTTTTGTTGTTGTTGATATTGCTGTTGTTGTTGATGATGTTGATGTTGTTGTTGATGTTGTTGACGATGTTGATGTTGTTGATGTTGACGTTGTTGTTGTCGGTTGTGTCATCATAACCATCATCATTATCCTCTTCATTTCATAAACATCATCATCGTCATCACAAAATTTCACCATCATCACAAAAACTCATCATCATCATAAAATCCAGTCATTTGCAGATCAGGTACTGGGGGTCATGTCATGGGTCATGCCCTTGTTCGTGGCAGCTTCGACATTCGGTGCCCTCAACTGCTGTATATTTGCTACGTCAAGGTCGGTTGGTTGGTCGGTTGGTTGGTTGGTTGGTTGGTCGGTCGGTTGGATGGTTGGTTGGTTGGTTGGATGGCTGGATGGTTGGTTGGTTGGTCGGTCGGTTGGTTGGTTGGTCGGTTGGTTGGTTGGATGGTTGATTGGTTGGTTCATGGTGCTTGACGAAGTTTTCTTCTTACTGATTTGATACCCAACGCCAAATTTAGCTGGAGCAAATATTATTATTATTATTTTTCTTCTCATTATTACATGTTCATCATTATATCACATTTTATAACAATTTTAATCTAACTTTGTTTAAAATTTTATTGGGCGATATCTTTTAATGAAAAACTGATTAACTCCGTAATTCGCTCGCCATATAGCATATACTGTGATAGAAGCACTACTTAACCGATTTTAAATATTTTTTTTTTTTTTTACTCTTAACCGATTTTAAATATTTTTTTTTTTTTACTCTCAAGCACTTGTTGATTAGAGAGAGCATTGTTCATTATATATTTTACATCTTATTTATTTACACTCTGACATATAATTAATAATTTTTGATTGATTTCATTTGGATTTTATCTTTTCGCGTAAATAAAAGAATGTTCCCACCATCATTATCACTATTATTATTATTATTATTATTATTATAGGTTGACGTTCGTCGGTGCCAGAGAAGGGCTGCTGCCAAACAGCGTAGCCCTGATCAACACTAAACTCTTCACCCCCATCACAGCCCTCGTGTTTGGGGTAAGGGTTTATTATTATTATTATTATTGTTGTTGTTGTTATTATCGTTGTTGTTGTTGTGTTATTTGTTTGTTTACTCCATTCATTCATTCATTCATTCATTCATTCATTCATTCATTCATTCATTCATTCATTCATTTTATTTTTTTATATTGACTCATTTATTCGTTTGTATGCACTCTCACACAAAATAGATGGATGGATGGATAGATAGATATGTTGATTGATTGATTAATTGATTGATTGATTGATTGACTGATTGATTGGTTGATTGATTGACTGACTGATTGATTGATTAATTGGTTGATTGATAGATAAGTTGATTGACTGATTGGCAGTGCTTCATATCTCTGGCAATGTTGATCTCGAAAGACGTCTACGTTCTCATCAACTACACAAGCTTCGTCGAGTCGCTGACGACGGCTGTGTCCGTCAGTGGCCTGCTCTACCTGAGGTGGAAGAGGCCCGACATAGATCGACCAATCAGAGTTTGTTTTCTGCTAGGGGGAAGGGGTTTATGTTGTTGTTGATGTTTTTGTTGTTTATGTTGTTGTTGATGTTGTTGTTTATGTTGTTGTTGTTGTTGATGATGTTGATGTTGTCGATGTTGTTGTTGATGTTGTTGATGATGTTGTTGTTGTTGATGTTGTTGTTGATGTTGTTGTTGTTGTTGATGTTGTCGTTGTTGATGTTGTTGATGTTGTTGTTTCCAGGGTTTATGTTGTCTTGAGAGTGTGATTTCGTTAGTTGTAAAAGGGCCCGATATGAATTGGATGGACCTAGTTGTCGATACGGGACCATTAGTTGTTGTGAGGGTTTTAAAAGGGCTATGGAGGTGATTTTTTTTATGGGGCTGGGTGATTTTGTAGTGAGGGTAATGACGCTGTCATGTCAGTACCACCACCACTACTACCACTATTATCATCATCATAATCTCTTCCACCACCACTATTATCATCATCATAATCTCTTCCACCACCACTATTATCATCATCATAATCTCTTCCACCACCACTATTATCATCATCATAATCTCTTCCACCACCACTATTATCATCATCATAATCTCTTCCACCACCACTATTATCATCATCATAATCTCTTCCACCACCACTATTATCATCATCATAATCTCTTCCACCACCACTATTATCATCATCATAATCTCTTCCACCACCACTATTATCATCATCATAATCTCTTCCACCACCACTATTATCATCATCATAATCTCTTCCACCACCACTATTATCATCATCATAATCTCTTCCACCACCACTATTATCATCATCATAATCTCTTCCACCACCACTATTATCATCATCATAATCTCTCCCACCACCACCAACTCAAACCAACCACCACCGCCACTATCATCATAATCTCTCCCACCACCATCGTTATCATCATCATAATCTCTCCCACCACCACCAACTCAAACCCACCACCACCACCAGGTGAGTCTGTTCTTCCCAATCATCTACATGCTCCTAGTAACATTCCTCCTCATAGTTCCCCTTATATACAATGCCAGCGAGTGCCTGATTGGCCTGCTGATGATGACCGCGGGCATTCCCGTCTACATACTCTTCGTCGCATGGCAGAATAAGCCACAGAGCTGGAAGAATTTTACAGGTTAGCTAAGGGGCTGTTAAGGGGTAGATTTTGAGGGCTGGACGGTGGTTAGGGGTTGATTTAGTGGGGTTTTGTTGTTGGTATTGTTGTTGTAGTTGATGTTGTTGTTGCTGATGATGTTATTGTTGTTGATATTGTTGTTGTTGTTATGATGTTGTTGTTGATGATGATGTTGTTGTTGTTGCCTGGTGGGGTGTAGTTGGTGGTGTTGTTTGGTTGGGTGATGTCGGTGGGGCTTAGTTTTACAGTTGGAGTGATGTTGGTTTGACGTGATGTTGGCCTTTGTTGTTGTGTTGCTGATGATGTTGTTGTTGTTGATATTGTTGAAACCGTCGTCATAATCATCATCATCATCATCGCCATCAAAATCATCACCAGGTAAGCTGAACCTCTTTGTACAGAAACTCTTCCTAAGTGTCTATCAAGAAACTACCAAATTTGATTAATTGATTGATTGATTAGATTGATTGATTAATTGATTAGATTGATTGATTAATGGCCATTTGAATGATTGAATGAATGATTGATTGGTTAATTGATTGGTTAATTGATTGGTTGATTGATTGGTTGATTAATTGATTGATTGATATCTGATGAATGAACGATTGAATGAACGAACGAACGAATGTACGGACAAACAACTGAGTGTTGAATACTTTGATGAAAACAGTTGAAGAACCTTTAAGAAGATGAAGGTTCTTATGATTCATGAATGTATGTATGCGTATGTATATATATATATATATATATATATATATATATATATATATATATATATATATATATATATATATATATATATATATATATGTGTGTGTATGTGTGCGTGCGTGCATGTGTGTGCAACAACAACAAACAACTGGCATTGCTATTAATCATAATTAACGCTAATTCACTTAATTTACTTGAGTTAATTAAGTGAATTAAAGTTAATTAAGTGAATTAATGATGTTGATGATGATAATGATGATTGGGATTATGCCGATGTCTATTTCAATGTTATAATTGTAATAATAATTATAACTATAATTATAACTATAATTATAACTATAATTATAACTATAATTATAACTATAATTATAACTATAATTATAACTATAATTATGTTGTCATCATTAGTATTAATATTTTCCAACTCTGCCAACAAATACCTAATCTCATTGATGTCGGTGCGTGTGTGTGTGTGTACGTGTATAACTCTGTACATCTGTCTATGTATATGTATCTATGTATATATATATATATATATAACATTTGTGTGTGATTAATATATAATTTAATTGATCAATCGATTGATCGATTTATTAGTAGTATTATTAAGTTATTATTATTGTTGGTTTGCTATTGTTGTTATGGCTATAATTAGTAGTAGTAGAAGTAGCAGCAGTAACCACAGCAGTAGTAGTAACCACAGCAGCAGCAGTAGCCACAGCAGCACTAGTAGTAGCAGCCACAGCAGCACTAGTAGTAGTAGTAGTAGCCACAACAGCAGCAATAGTAATGATGGTATGGCTACTGATCATTTACATTAATATTATTGTCGTTTTTATTTTAATATATCATGATCTCTCTCTTTTTCTCTCCTTCTGTCTATCTGTCTCTCTCTCCTCCTGTCTTTCTCTCTCTCCCTCTCCGATCATATAATTTCCTAAGAATGAACATCAATTATATGGAACTGGTCTATATGAATGATTACTACGATTAACATATATATATATATGTATATATATATGTATATACATATATATATATATATATACATATATATATATATATGTCTTTATCTTTGTATTTATATCAGTGTTAAATTTAATGACGATGATGATAATGATGATGACGACGACGGATTTTAAAACGTGATCTTCGTACGTGCGTGTATATATAATCTTTTTTTTTTTAGTATCACTTGTTTCCCATTTTGTTTCATTTTTTTGTCGGTTCTTTAATTGAGAAAATTTTTGTGTATATATTCATTTTTTGTTTAACAGTTCAGTGAATCTTATATCTGTGTGTGCGTGTGTGTTTGTATGTATGTGTGTGTGTATGTATGTGTGTGTGTTTGTATGTATGTGTGCGTGTGCTAGCGTGTGTGTGTAGTGTGTGTCTTCCTATTTTAATTTCTTAGGATGATTAAAATAAGATCGGATTGGATTCTTTTTTTTTGTGGTTCGCCTTCATATTGTTCTGTTCATTTAAAATCTCGGAATTTTAAACGGTTTTCCATATGTTCGTTCGTTTGTTTATTATTATTTTATTTTATTATTATTATTGTTGCTATTATTATTTGTATTATCGTTAAATCGCAGCTTTAGTTTGTATTTTATTCTCAAACAAACACGATATGATTGCTTTTTTATGCTTTACTTTACCTGACATACATACATACATACATACATACATACATACATACATACATACATACATACATACATACATACACAGGTGCATACATACATATATACAAACATACAAACATACACACATACATACATACATACATACATACATACATACATACATACATATATACAAACATACATACATACATACACACGTGCATACATATATGAACTGTTTTTTTGGTTTTTATCTATTTTGTTTTGACATTCTATCATTTTTTATCACTCTTGTTGATAATTTCTGTATCAATGTCGATTTTTAGGTTAAATTTTTTGACAACTGATGAAAAAGCAGCTACATACATACATACATACATATACATACATACATACATACATGCATACATACATGCATACATACATACATACATGCATACATACATGCATACATACATACATACATACATGCATACATACATGCATGCATACATACATACATACATGCATACATACATGCATACATACATACATACATACATGCATACATACATGCATGCATGCATACATACATACATTCATACGTGTACAATTCATACACACACGTACATACATACATGCACACACATACACATACAATGTTTTATTTTTTTTTCTTGTCTTAGGTTCAAATATTCTGTCAATAATAATAATAGAATTCGTATTTAATGTGGCAACGACTCCAACAATTAAATTAAATTACATTCATACGTGTACAATTAAAACATTGGTTGTCGACAAGGTGGTGTAGTGGTTAAGAGGCAGTAACCGGCTTCGAATGCCAGGAGATCCCTGCTTATTGCATGCAATGTGTGTGCGTGTGTTGATTACTCCTGAGAAGAAGATTAAAGTTAAGCGAGAAATAATTATAACAATAATTAATAACAATTATAAAAATATTTATTTTTGATATTGTGAATGAATGAATGAACAAATACTGACGCGCAAAGACATTTAGTTCTGTTGTAGCTATAATGTTGTTATCTATATATTATATGTGCATATATATATATATATATATATATATATATATATATATATATATATATATATATATATATATATATATAGTCAGTATTGCATGAATTCTACCGAATTGTTGGTATTAATCAGTTTAAAGTTGTTTGTCTTTTCAATTTTCCTTAGTAGAATTTTCTGAAAATTGTTCAATCTGTTGAAAATAAGATTATCCAAGTTGATCATGAAAATTCAATGAAACTTGTTATCTAAACTCAGATAAGGCTTTATTTCGATTTCTCACAAGTCATCTTCAGTGCAGATTTGGTTTATATAGTTTCTTTAAACAAAGCAAAGTTCTTTTGTAAAGTTTATTAGTTGGTGTCGTATTCTTCATACTTGTTGTTGTCACTCCTTCGTTGTTTGTTGTTATTGGAGTTAAAGGTTAAAAAGGTTAAAGGTTACTCTCTCTCTTTTGCTTTAGCTTCAGAGGTTTCAACGACAAACACACACACAGCGTATATGAAAACGCGTGCAAACCACGTATCATACACATTGCATATGATAGGCGGGGATCTCTTTGTATTCGAACCCAGTCATTGCAGTAGCAAGACCAGGCGCCTTTAACCATTGAGCCATCACATTGAGTTAGTATTGAGGCGTCGAGTTGCTAATGATGTTATCATTCTTTGATGGAAGTTTATTTGAGGTTTGTTGATATCTATTAGGACAGCTTATGCAATTGTTAGATGTATTGTGTTGGTGTTTTGATAAATTATTTTTGTGTTGGTGTCTAGAGTTTGGCGGGTTATTGGAGTTGTATATGTTGATTGCAAGTGAGATTTGATGGCTCCTCTTTGTGTATGCATCGTGAGACGTCTTGAGAGTACGCTTCAAAGTAGAATCGTCTTTAGGAGTACAGTTGTTCCTTAAGACCAATCTTTTTAGGAGTGCAGTTGTTCCTTAAGACCAATCGTCTTTAGGAGTGCAGTTGTTCCTTAAGACCAATCGTCTTTAGGAGTGCAGTTGTTCCTTAAGACTAATTGTGTTGTCTTACTATTATTGTAGTGTATCATGAGTTTTATTTTATTAGTATCATTGATTGGTGTAACATTTCCTTTTGATGTTGCCATAGATGTATCCAGATAAGTATTCGCCTTGGAGTAGCTGGATTTTTTTCTTTAGGTATGTTTTTGTTTATTTTCCTTATTGCGTTAAGTTTAGTCTTTAGTCTCTCTCTCTTCTCTTTCTCTTCTTCTCTTTCTTTCTCTCTCTCTCTCTCTCTCTCTCTCTCTCACAACACAAACACAACAATAAAAATACAAGGAGTTGGGTCTTTTTTGATTGCTTGAAATTTTGTGCTGTCGTCAAGCAAGTGTTCGATTTTGCTGTTGTAGTCAATTTTGTCTAGGACCACAAATTGGTTTGACTTAACAATTTCTTCATTTTCTTTTAAGTCATTTTGAAGCAGTTCTAACTAAAATATAGAGATATATATGTGTGTGTGTGCGGTGTGTGTCTGTAGTGTGTGTTTGTGTGTGTGGTGTGTGTGTGTGTGTGTGTGTATACATTTATATTATTTACAAACATTCAACTATAATAATATATAATTATTTTTATCATTATTCGAGTTGTTGTTGTTTACAATAGTAATCTGATGTATTCATCTCTTATATCTATATATCCGTACAAATAGGTCTTTTGCTGTTGTTGTTAGTTTCGGTGGCGTCACTATTATTATGGTTGTTGTTGTTATTATTGTTATGGTTGTTGTTGTTATTATTGTTATGGTTGTTGTTGTTATTATTGTTATGGTTGTTGTTGTTATTATTATTATTAACGTTGCTAGGGTTGAATGAAAGCAAATCTATATTTGGTAGGCCGTTTTGTTGTTGATGTTGTTGTTGATGTTGTTTTTGATGTTGTTGTTGCTGTTGTTGTTGCTGTTGTTGTTGTTGCTGTTGTTGTTGATGTTGTTGTTGACAATGACAACCAACACACAGGCCGTCACATTGACCGCAAAACGACGTCAGAGCACCGCCATCTTGGTTGTTGTTGTTGCTGTTGTTGTTGCAGTTGTTGTTGTTGATGTTGTTGTTGATGTTGTTGTTGATGTTGCAGTTGCTGTTGTTGTCGTAATCGTCATCAACGTCATCAGCAAACTCGTCGACGTCATCTTCAATGACGTCATCATCGTCGTCGTTGTCACTCCCTTCGTAGTTGAATATTTTAATCTGATCGTTCGTCTGCTGCTGCTGCCTCACGTTCACCTCTCTCAGACGCGTGTTTATCAGGTTCTCCAGTTGCTCGTCCAGCGTTATTGCTGTGTTGTTGATGTTGTTGTTGCTGATGTTCATGTTGTTGACGTTGTTGTTGTTGATGTTGTTGTTGACGTTGTTGATGTTGTTGTTGACGTTGTTGTTGTTGACGTTGTTGTTGTTGTGGCTGATGTTGCCGGAAAAGGTTTTGAGTATGCCGTCTGCGTATTATTTGAAAAAAAATTAAAAATTAAAAGAAAAACATTTAAATATGCAAATTAGTTTCATCAGCACGGTCTGATGTTAATATGCAAATTAGTTGTCGACGCGAGTTAGATCTGTCCAAAACTCACACTCAAACAAAACAAACAAACAAAGCTCAAAGACCATCACACGCCTATGATACGGTACGATGCTTGTATGTGCAAACATGAAGTGTATGTGCGTCGTGTGGTGTGGTGTAGATAGTGCAGCCTTTGTGGCACGGAAGTTTAATTATAAAGTATAGAATAACAAGTAGGCAGTTTAGCCTCCTAAGCATAACATTATTAATATATTTGCAAATTAGTCACATCCTAATCTAATTATAATATGCAAATTAGTCACGTTCTCGCAATCTAATTATAATATGCAAATTAGTCACGTTCTCGCGGTCTAATTATAATATGCAAATTAGTCACGTTCTCGCGATCTAATTATAATATGCAAATTAGTCACGTTCTCGCGATCTAATTATAATATGCAAATTATTTACGTTCTCGCAATCTAATTATAATATGCAAATTATTTACGTTCTCGCAATCTAATTATAATATGCAAATTAGTCACGTTCTCGCAATCTAATTATAATATGCAAATTCGTTTCGCTTTCCATTCTCGCAATCCACTCATTGTTTTCTTTTGTTACGACGCCATCCTGCCATACTCCAAATATGCAAATTAGTCTCATTCTAAAATCTACTTATACTATGCAAATTAATCTCATTAGCATAATTTATTCACCAAGTAAACGCATACAAATAGTCAAAAATAACCATTGGCAATGCTAGCTGTAGTATCATTACAGATCGTCTTATTATTATTATGGTTATTATTATTAGCAACTTTAATAGTATTAAAATTAGTGGTTATAGCAGTGTTTGTTGTTGTTGTTGATGTTATTGTTGACTTTTTCAGTTGAATGTTTGGCTGTTGGCGTTGTTGCACGTACGTGTTGTTGTATTTGTTGCTGTTGTTGTTTTTATTGTTATTATTATTATTGTTGTTGTTGTTTTTTATTATTGGTTTCTTCAGTCTGTTGATGTTGTACGCTGTCTGGTCTTCCTCGCCTGATTGGTTGGATGGTTCAGAATGGATGAATGAATGAATCAACCAATCAAATTTTCCTTCATTCGTACACTCATTCATTCATCCATTCATTTCTTTATTCATTCATTCGTTCATTTTTAGGTACTTCTTGTCATGAAGGACGCAATTTCACGCGTCTTCATTTTTCTTTCATTTTATTCAGCACTCATTCACTCATTTTGCCAGCCAATCATATTCCAGATGGACGAATGACCACGCCCTCTCGTTGATTTCAACTCACCGACGCCCTCCTCCCCTCTGACGTCATCATCGTGGCCGCCAACCACCACGAACAGGTACGATTCTGATTTCTTGCGTTTTGTCAGCAGCAGCGCTACGATCGTCATCACTTGCGAATAAATTTGCATAAATTAACGTATATTAACATAATGAATCTGCATAAATTAAAATATATTAACATAATAAATTAACGTGAATATCTGCTTGGGGAGGTGAATTTATAACTGTTTAACGCTCTATGTTGTTTGTTGATGATGGTATAATGGTATATTTGAGAATTAATTAGAATTGCAATCATAATGACAAGCATCCATATTCATGAATGACCATATGAATGAATTAATAAATTATATTATAATAATAGTTAGCCACGCCCCCACTAACGCAGCAGAGCAATCATGACGCAGACGAACGCCATGGCGACAGTCTTGGTCGTCGTAGAAACAAATTCGCCACCCTCGTTCCGATTGACCGGCTGGGAGAGTTCAGAGCAGTCGTGGCCAGCGAAACCCTCGTCACACAAACAATGGTACCCTGTCTCAATGTCAATACACTGGCCTTTGTAATTGCAAAGTGACGATGATTGCTGAAATGATGATGATGATAACTGTCGAAGTGATGATGATGATGTTATTGTTGATGATGATGATGATAGTGTTGTTGGCGGTGGTGATGATGATAGTTCAAGGCATTCGTTGATATTCTCGCACAAGTCTTCTTCGGGATTATTATTATTATTATTATTGTTATTATTATTATTGTTATCATTATTATTGTTGTTGTTGTTGTTAGTCGTGTTTACGTATTTATGAAATGGCGATGATGATGATGACCGCTTCAATCTCTTTCCTCTTGGGCACCTTTTATTATTATTATTATCATCATCATCATTATTATCATTAATCATTTATTGAAGAAAAAAGTTTATTAATAATAATAATAAATAATAATAATAATAATTGTCTAACAAATTTTTCGATTTATTTTGCCCAACCAATCAAATTGTCGCCACTCAACCAATCAGAATTCAGCCAATCAAACAAGCCCCTCCACCTATTTAATCCAACCAATCAGGATCAAACCTGCAAACAGCCAATCGCCAGCGATCT